CACACACACACACACACACACACACACACACACACACACACACACACACACTGGGCGGGGCCACTCAGAGGCTGAGTAATCATCTGCACAGTTTGTTGGTGCTGGGTTTTGCTTTAGCTCCTGGTCTGATGGTTCTGCTTCTTCCTGCGTGTGCTCACTCAGACGGGAGTTCGAGGAGGGTCCGACGAAGGTCCGGAGACCAGAACCTCATCATCAGCTCCCCGCCGCCAGGTACGACACTTCCTGACTCATCTACTCTCTCTTCCACCCCGAGATGTTTGTGTTTTTCTTTCCTTTTTCCCCGTCGACGCTCTCGCTCACACAGGAAGTACTTTCTCATCTGTCTGAAGACGTTTGACACCGGAGGGTCGGCGCCTCTTTAACGAACAGAACCCAAACTGACGCAGCTTCCTGAAACCTTCACTGCAGTTTCGTACCTTTAAGGTGCAGCGAGTGACTGAAGAGCTAAAGCTGAAGGGAGATCATGCAAATCTAAATGATCTGCAAGGAGATATGATTGAACAGACGGTGCAGATGCCTAAAATGAAACTGGATTTAAATATTTATGTTTTATTTTATGGTTTTATCAGAGGCTAATACAACTTTACACACGTTTAATGTTGATTCTTACGTGTTTATAACACGATTATGACATGAAAACTGTTTTTTTGTGGAGGTTTAGAGCATAGCGTGAGAAATGTTCTTGCCTATGATGATGTTGTGTGCCTGTCAGCAAAATATCTCATGAAACACTGAAGAAATTTGAGTGAAACTTTCAGGACCGCAGCTTACAAATGCTAAATCTTAAATTTGTGATGTTTGTTTCTGCTCAGACTCACGACGATGAAGGCAGGTGATGATGAAGGTGAACAGTCCTCCCAGCAGCCGGGCGGAGAAGCAGCAGGAGGGAAGGTTCAGAGCAAGCTGAGCGCAGCCGCCTCCGCCGCCTCCTCTTCCGGATCGGGCTGGACCAAAGTCAGCTGCCCCTGTTGTGTTTCAGAGTGGGTCGAGCCGCTGGTTCTGTTGAAGCTCGGGCCGAAGGTGGGCCCGGAGACCAAGCGATGGGTCATCAAACTGATCGGAGCGCCTCAGAAAGATGGAGGTGTGTTCTCTGCTGCACCTCCCTCCGTCTAAAAACATCAGATCAAATGTTTGACTCTGGTACCAAGAATCAATCGAGATGCTTCCAGGAACCATCACTAAGACGCACACCTGTCTAATGACATTAATTACTTTTAAATAATTATAATGTAAATTATTTAACTGAAAAATCTTTCATGGTTTCACTCACTGTGGTGACCCCCGAGGAAAGAGCAGCCGAAAGAACTTCATTTCCTCCAAAAACATCGTTCTCTTTAAAATCTGCCTCAGCGTTCGATCCTACCACTATCCTCCTCCTCTGCTTCTTTTAGCTCCTAGTTTGCCATTTGCTACTTTCAGCTAAACCTGCCAAACCACAGCTAAAAGCTAAACTTACCAAAACAGTAGCTAAAACCTAACTTGCCAAACCACAGCTAAAAGCTAAACTTACCAAAACTGTAGCTAAAACCTAACTTACCAAACCACAGCTAAAAGCTAAACTTACCAAAACTGTAGCTAAAAGCTAAACTTACCAAAACAGTAGCTAAAACCTAAACTTACAAAACTGTAGCTAAAACCTAAATTTACTAAAATAGTAGCTAAAACCTAACTTACCAAACCACAGCTAAAACCTAAACTTACCAAAACAGTAGCTAAAACCTAACTTACCAAACCACAGCTAAAACCTAAACTTACCAAAACAGTAGCTAAAACCTAACTTACCAAACCACAGCTAAAAGCTAAACTTACCAAAACAGTAGCTAAAAGCTAAACTTACCAAAACAGTAGCTAAAACCTAAACTTACTAAAATAGTAGCTAAAACCTCAACTTACCAAAACAGTAGCTAAAACCTAACTTGCCAAACCACAGCTAAAAGCTAAATTACCAAAACAGTACCTAAAAGCTAAATTTACAAAACTGTAGCTAAAACTTAACTTACCAAAATAGTAGCTAAAAGCTAAACTTACAAAACTGTAGCTAAAACCTAAACTTACTAAAATAGTAGCTAAAACCTAAACTTACCAAAACAGTAGCTAAATCCTAACTTACCAAACCACAACTAAAAGCTAAACTTAGCAAAACAGTAGCTAAAAGCTATACTTACCAAATCACAGCTAATAGCTAAATTCAACCAAACCACAGCTAAAAGCTAAACTTGCCAAACCACAGCTAAAAGCTAAATTTACAAAACTGCAGATAAAAACTAAAGTTACCAAAACAGTAGCTAAAATCTAAACTTAGCAAAATTGTAGGTAAAAGCTAAAAAGGTGCATGAGACAAAATGTGCAAGTATGCTGAAGTAAATTTCGAAGAACAAAGTTTTTAAAGGAATTTAAGAAATTTATAAATATATTTCTATTTAAAAGGAAAATGTTTGTAAATCAAATTAATTCAAAAAGTCAACTTGAATGTTATAATAAACAGAGCTGGTGTTTGTAAAAAGGTTAATTTCACTCGCCTAGATGAGAAGTTTAGTGCGGTTTGTCTCAGTTTGTCTCAGTTTGTCTCAGTTTGTGTCAGTTTGTCTCAGTTTGTCTCAGTTTGTGTCAGTTTGTCTCAGTTTGTCTCAGTTTGTCTCAGTTTGTCTCAGTTTGTCTCAGTTTGTCTCAGTTTGTGTCAGTTTGTCTCAGTTTGTGTCAGTTTGTCTCAGTTTGTGTCAGTTTGTCTCAGTTTGTGTCAGTTTGTGTCAGTTTGTCTCAGTTTGTGCCAGTTTGTCTCAGTTTGTCTCAGTTTGTGTCAGTTTGTCTCAGTTTGTCTCAGTGTCGCCTCACTGTCCCGCTCCAGGCGCCGGTCTGTTGGCCCACCCGGGCGAGGACGCCTGCGGGAACATCATCGTGGTGTCGGCGCCTCGGTGCACGTTGCTGCGAGCCGCCGAGGAGCTGGGTCTCTGTAAGACCTACGAGAACGGAGACATGGAGGCTTTTTCCTACAGCGACAGAGACAATTTTAAAGATTCAGGTAGGGCTGAACAAACTTTAAATAATAAAAACAGTAACTGATGATGTGAGTGTCCTTTAGCTCTGGACGTCTCTTAAATAAACTAATAAATGTAAATATATGAAATATTTTGTCTGATGTAAGACTTTTACAACACATTTTCTTATCTTATGAATGATAACAGCTGTATAATTTGCAAGAGATGTAAAAACATGGCTTTAACAGTGTTTTATGATAGTTATAGAGGATCGTGGTAAAACTAATTTTATTTTATTACTAAAAAAGGACATGTGGCACAGAGCTGTGGAGCTGCAGTAATATCTGCGACGCTGTTTGTTTGTGTGGCAGACAACATGGAGGTGTTTCTGACCTCGGCGGAGCGACAGTACATGGTGAAGTACGAGCTGGACGGCTTGAGGGCGCAGAGGGACCTGAGGGTACCGGGTCTGTCTGAAAGCTGCGTGCTGCTGAAACGGGACAACATCTGTGAGTGGCCTGGTTGGGTTCAGAACAGAGGAACACGAAGGTCACATGCTGCTGATGGAGCAGACTGAGGACAATAAACCAGTGTTCGCTTCAGTTTCAGCGCCCTGGGAAATATGGAGGCTTAAACAGCCTGTGACGTGAAAAAAATTCAAATACAAAAAGTCGAAGAAACAATTTTTATATTTAAGAAACTTGGCATAATACACATGATTTTACTCATTTTGTTACATAACCAGCATATTTTCTTTTGGATTTAGCTCAGCCAAAATGAAACAGGAAGTGACATCGAAGGGGAACTCTTTAAGAAAGAACACCCTCTCACTTGGACCCTTATTTATTGAAACATTGTTTGAACTTTGACTCTTTTTCATCTTTCTGATAGTGACTCAAAATGATCTAAAGAACCAGATTCTTCTCTACAGTTTGTGTTCTCAAACATTTTATCAACGCTCTGTTTTCATGCAGACATTCCCCTTTGACATCACTTCCTGTTACTTCACATGCAAATATCTCAACAAATGTTTATCTCAGCAGCGTGAAATTTGTTTTGCGTTATTATCAGCGTTGTCTTTCCAAAAAATGAATTCAAATTTGACAAAAAATTGATGTCATAGGCCCTTTAAAAAGTGACTAAATTAAATAAATCAATGCATCATGAAATAAATAAATGTAATCTAAGTTTATTAAAACTGCAGTTTGATCCAAATCACAAACAGGAGATAAGATGCATTTCATAGGGACTATTTTTAGCTGCGTATTGATTTGTTTTTTTTAAATATTTATGAGATTGTTTGGGTAATGTTACACACTCTGACTCGCAGGGCGGAAGCTGGGATCCTTCGGCGTGATTGTCGACACGCTTCCTCTCCACAACCCCAAGAAGCTGAAGGAACTTGGCGAGGGCTGGTACGCCGGGAATCAGCTGGTTCAGCCGCTGGGTGGGTGGATTCACACGTAAAACCACTGATCTGCTTCACTGGACTGGACATCACGTGACTTATCATGCACTGCGCAGGTGGCATAGCTCTGCATCGAGTCTGGACTCAGAACATCCACGAACGGTGGTAAAAATGAGATGCAGCACACAGTCAACGCAAGGAATATCAAAAAAGGATGAAATATTTTATCATAAATTGTCAACATTACAACAAGATCAAGGTTATCACATTTTACAGGTCATTAAAATGTTTTTTATTTAAAAAAGATGCAGTAAGTAGGTCAGTTATGCAGGTTGATTTTGACAACCTTGTGTCAGGTAAACCCACGAAAAGACCAATTTGCTGTTCCAAGAAATAATTATAATTTTTATTAATATTGTTATGTTAGGATAACAGGAAGGTTGTAAATATGATGGACAACAGTAAAATTACTGTTCCTAATAGTAGAGTGAACTGTATTTTATGACCAGCTGGAAGAATTTGTCTTCAGTCGCTTCAGCAAAATCAAGAACTGGGAAACAAACGCAGAATTAGAATTATATATACAGTATATAAAGTGGAGCCCATTGTTAAGTTTCCTATTTTAAGAACAACTGTTTAAGATTTCAACTGAAAGTCTAAATTATAATTGAATCTGAATACTATGACACAGATGAGTTAGTTTTATGTGGCAGAAATGAGCTTCTACAGTAAACGCATTAACAAAAACCTATAATGAAAAGTTCCCAGACTGATTATAGATTTATCTCTTGGGTAAATACATGTTTTTACACACCACAAAATCTGCACTTTTCTCAGCTTTAATTTAAGCCATATTTTATAAAAATAGGATAAGAAATAAGGGCGATATGAATATTTTTGTGACAGATTGATGAGCATCCCACCTTGAAACTAGGGCTGTGTATTGGCAAGAATTTGGCGATACGATACATATCGTGACAGAGGGGTCACGATACGATATATCCCGATATATTGCAATTCTGTAAGCAAGGCGAAATTTTGCGATATATTGCGATTTTTTTGTCCAAAAATTCTATTAAATAAAAATATCTTACTGGGAAAAAATGAAAAACCAAAATTCATTGTCTCAGAAAATTCTAATATTACAGACATACTTTTAATACATTTAGCTGTGTTCTGCTTTGTATGTGTTTCATTTTATCTGTTTCATCTTTCTTATTTCATCCATGTTTTCAATTATTAGACTAAATTTGACAATAAATAGTTTGAAAATATATATATTTTGCAGCTTTTAGTTTTTAATATTAATTTACACACAACACTTAACAATAGCCTCTACCTCAAGAGGTAGAGGAGCCAAATGTCTGGCTCACTGCTGCCAACTAGTGGYCAGAGGCTGAACTACAACATAAAAATGAACGGCTGGCAGGAAAGTTGACATTTTAAACCTTAATTTAAAAATCGATACAGGGCTTTAGAATATCGATACAGTATCGGGAAATGAAATATCGCGATATTTCAGTGTATCGATATTTTCTTGCACCCCTAATTGAAACTGTACGGTTTTGTTGATGACTCAGTGAATAGTAATGGCTCCGATGACGGCACATCGCTAGCTATAGCGGCTATAGGCGATGTCCATTCCAGTCATATGGATCAATGTTTAAAACTTCACTGAGAGAAGATGATTCTCAGTAATGAACGATTAAACGAACCCCTCTCTGTGTTGATTTATCCAGACAGAATCAACGAGTATTTTGGAAGCTGTGTGGCGTTTTACTTCAGCTTCCTCGATTTCTACACCTGGTCTCTGCTTCCTCCAGCCATACTGGGCATGTCCATTGCGTACTTCTCAGGTAGGTGTGTGCATTTATCTTCATTACGACACATTAAAAAAGGACTTTGAAGGAATATTCTAGTGTTAAAACTGATATATTTGTTTTACACAAACTCCAATAAAAAGACAAACCAGTGGAGGGTACAGTTCTGCTAAACTGCTAATAATGGAGCTAGCTTCTCATTTAGCAGATTAGCTTTTTTGCTAACTGTTAGCGGACCAATTCGCTTCCGCTACTTTGAAGTCTGTTACAAATACACAAATGTAAAACTTCTGTTTGTATGCAGTTTATCCTGAGTTTCAAAAAAAGACTATCCTCTCTTACAAGCAGTGCTGGACGTGTCAGGCATCGTTTGTGTGCCATGTAGCATCTTTAGCAGCTAAACTTCAAACTGAGTGTCCAAAAAAATAACAGTTAAAACTTAAATGAATATAAAACTGACTACGTGTAAAATATGGTAGTCAAAGTATTTGCTCTGTTGTTTGACTAAGTTCAAACTGTATTTAAAAATACAAACTCGATCAAAGAAATGCTTTTATTCTGAAAGGGATAAACTGGAAGTTTCACTGGATTGAATTGGCCATTTTGTCACAGATAATCCCACCTTTCTTCAAATCAAACCGATAGAAAACTTCAACTGGAAAGAGATGAAGACGAGTGACACTTAGCCGTCAGCGTGACTAAGATTCTTGTTTAGTGGATTAGAGGTTAGTGAAGCTAATTTTGTGGTTAGCTATGCGCGCTGCTGGACAAAGCAGCTGTTTGAGACAGTTTTTGTTTAATGTACCAACTTATGAAGAGGGTTTTTTTTGTTCTAATTAAAGTAAGGCTTAATTAGTAGAAGGTGTCTCTAAGCTAATACTAGGCTAATGCGTCAAAACAGTGACTTTTTTCACGTCTCCACTGGAGCTGGATGTCTTTTAAAGTTCCCGTGACATGCATATTCTTCAAATACAAAAAGTCAAACATCTTTATATTTAAGAAAGTTGGACTAATACACACGATTTGACCCATCTTGTCCCATAACTGGCAGATTTTCTTATGAACTTGGCTCAGCCAAAGTGAAACAGGAAGTGACATCAAAGGGGAACTCTTGAACAAAGGAAACTCTCTGGTCTTTGTTTTTCGAAACATTTGAACTCTTTATTCATCTCTCGTATTGAGACTCAAAATAATCTTAAACATCAAATTCTTCTCTACAGACTGGGTTGTTGGCTATTTTAGCAATGCTCTGTTCACATGCAGACATTCCTCTTTGACATCACTTCCTGTTACTTCACAGGCAAATATCTCAACAACTGTTCATCTCAGCGACATGAAATTTATTTTGCAATATCTTTTCAATGTCCTCTTTCTAAAAATGCATTCATATGTATTACGAAAATTCGACGTGACAGGCACTTTAAAGAGCAGAGTGACAGAAATTCTTATATTGCGTTCCTAATTTTGTTTATACTTCAGCATTTAGTGATGTTTTGTGTAGAAATGGTGCCTCTGTTTATCACCTGAAAGATCATTAAACACAACAGTTTCTGTTTTGAGGGAAGGGGTAGTTGGATGTTCTGCTGCGTGCTGTAAGAACATCTGCCTGTGTGTCTCAGGTGATGTTCAGAGGGAGATGGTGGAGTCGGTCTCAGGCTCCAAGGCTGCAGAGGACCAGGGTGAACCGGGCCTGGTGATCAGCGGTCACATGGTCCAGGCGGTGTTCAGCATGATCTGGTCCACCGTGGTCATGGAGCTGTGGAAACGCCGGAGCTCCTCGCTCTCGTACCGCTGGGGGACCATGAACCTGGCCGAGCGCTTCGCGGAGCCTCGGCCCGAGTTCCACGGCGAACTCGGGGTCAACCCGGTCACGCGTCGCGTGGAGCCGCTGTTCTCCGAGGGGCAGAGGCACCTGCGGATGGCGCTGGTGTCGGTCCCGGTGGTGGGGCTGTTTTTAGGTGAGGCTGATTAACTCCGAGCAGTGAAACATCTGCTGAGCTCTTACACGGTGATGAAATCTGCCGCTCCTGCAGGTCTGGTGGTTCTGGGGATGACGTGCTTCTACTGGGGGGAGGCCCGGGTCCAGCAGCTGCACAAAGACTGGGACTCTCTGCTGTCTAAGGCCTTGCTCTACGTGCCCTCGGTGCTGCACATCGTCTACACGAACATGCTCGCCACCGTGTACAAGACGGTGGCTCAGTCTCTGACTGAATATGGTGAGCAGGGAGGAGGGGATGGAAGCTGAGTCAGCATTTTTTTTTCCTGTAAATATTCCGCAATCCAATGACCTGCATAATTCAATCCTCATATATCTAAACCTTTAGCTCGTTCAGTAGTTGCGTGCTGAGACTTTTGTTTGTTGGAACGTTTTTTTTTTAAGTTTATTTACAAAAATTGTTCCGATAGAAAAACACACAGAACTTTACGTCTCAAAAACAGCATCTTTGAAAGCAGCTTCAAAATAAAAGATTTTAATTTGTTGTCTTCTTACACTGCTTTCAGTCTTTAGCCAATGTTCTTTCTTTCTTTTATTTGGATCCCCATTAGTTACAATGTTCTGTTACATTTAGCCATTAGCTGGGCTTTGAATACTTTCAGCTACATTACTGCTACTTTCTCCTACACTTTAGCTATTTTTAGCTAGCCTTTAGCTAAGTTTTGCTTTTAGCAAACCCATTTCTACATTTAGTTCTAGCTACTTTTGTTAGGTGAGCTTTTAACTATTCTTTTGCTACTTTTAACTAAAGTACTAAGACTACTGCTGCATTTAGGCTGCTAACTCCTACAAACTAGTGTTCTGCTCCTTTAAGCTAGCACTCTGCCCATTCGAGCTAGCACTTTTCCCCTTCGAGCTAACACTCTGCCCCTTCGAGCTAGCACTCTGCCCCTTCGAGCTAGCACTCTGCCCCTTCGAGCTAGCACTCTGCCCCTTCGAGCTAGCACTCTGCCCATTCGAGCTAGTGTTCTGCGCCTTTATGATTTTGCAATCCATCTTTAAAATCTTTTAGATTTATTGTAAATCAATTTATAGATGATAATAAAGCTAAACCTTTCTTTTTCTCCCCTCAGAGAACCACAGAGAGGAGTCGGCGTACGAGAACCACCTGACTGGTAAAGTCTTGGTGGTGAGTTTCCTCTCCTTTCCTTTCTCTTCGCTCATCTTCAACCCAACCGGCTCTTCCATCTGAATCGTTTTGTTTCCTCAGTTCACTTTCTTCAACTACTTCGCTGTGCTCTTCCACATCGCCTTCTTTAAGCAGGACGTGCCACTGCTTCGTAAGGTAACCAAAGATCTCCAGTTCTGGTGTTTTATGTGGTTTCTGAACATTACTAGGTAAAATGTTTCATCTTATTTCAGGATATTTTTTCTTGTTTTAAAGTTTAAATGAATGCATTCAAGCAAATCTGTAAAGAAAAAAAATGTGAATTTATTTTTAAAGTAAGTCAAAATAGATACCTAAATATGTTATAAAGTGTGTTGAAAGATTTTTTTACTTGATTTTGAGTGAATATGATCCAACTGAAGTCAAATATAATTTCTCATTCTTTTATACAGTAAAATATATTTGGTGACAAACTAAACGTTTGGATAATTTTTCAAAACAACAAACATTTAATAACAAGTCTTTTCAGTCAGGTAAGAAAAATAAATAACTTTTGGATGTAAAAACTTCAGATTTCTTAACATTTATTAATGTTACCATCATGGTCTTTCCTGTGCAGAATGACAAAATGCAAAATTAGTTCTTTACTAAAACCTCTGTAACTTTGCTCCAGTTCACTTTAGCAGCATGAATCTTTGCACAGGTAATGTTCACAAGTGGGTTTATGGTTTCCAAGAGTTTTTAGCCTGATTCATTATGGTTTTAAATAGTTATATACAGGGTTGCACATAAAATTTTTGGTCTGGTTCTCAGGGGAGAACCTAGAGTTGTTGCTTGGTGCTCACCCATATTTTCCTGCACTTGTTTAACACATTTATCTAGAGGGGCGTCAGGTCATCTAACATCCCCCTGTTCTGTTTTATGACTCCTATCAGCTGCAACGTCTCAGGACATCATGTTAAATCAGTCCAAGTTTTTATTTTATTCTTTTACTCTGCATAAATTTTGTAAACTACCTAAGTGGCCGAGGGGCTGGGTGTATGTCATATAAACATCACAAACTGAACATTTCATAGTTAAATGTCTTTTAGACTACACACGTCCCTCAGATGGATTACTCCTGTTTGGTCTTCTGGATCTTCAGCCTTGGTTAAACCAGTTTTCCACACTCTCCAGTCCAACCAGCAAATATCTGTCTTTCACACAGAGTAAAATAACTTAAAACATACAAATGTTTTATTTGTTAGACTGATTTCTTTTTTAAAAGACTATTTTATTCAAAAATATTACATTATTTAGATGGTTTCAGATCATGTAATTATTTATTCTTCGTATTTGATAGTTTAATAAATTACATTTATCCCAGAGCAGCTGTATGACAGTATGGTTCTAAACATAAATTAAAGCTGCAAGCAGCGTTGGGCGGTCCCCGCAGCTTGAGCGCCGCTCCGGCCATGTGGTGACCACAGAAGAACTGGCAT